TTAGAACACTTTCCCACCAGGAGACTCGAACCCTAGCCAGCACAGAAGCCTTCCAGCAACTGGCATAACAGGTACGCCTTAACCCTCTCCACCACCTGCTCAGACCCTTAATTAAAAGAGATGGTAATTTCGGAGTATTTAAATACACCAAAGATCACCCCCTCCCAAGAGCACTAGAGCAAGTGAGGGGTCATTTAGACGTGGAGAGGGTTAAGGCGTACCTGTTATGCCAGTTGCTGGAAGGCTTCTGTGCTGGCTAGGGTTCGAGTCTCCTGGTGGGAAAGTGTTCTAAAGTTATATATATATATATATATATATATATATATATATATATATATATATATATATATATATATATATATATATATATATATATATATATATATATATATATATATATATATATATATATATATATATATATATATATATATATAAATAATACTAGGAACACAAGTGACCCCAAAAAATGAAGAGGGCAACACAGTAGGGACAATTATAGGTTACCAATGAAGACACAATCGTACCTAGAAATACCGCTACTGCCGATTCACTGAGAAAGAAGCACTCTTCCAGAATACCATGGGAACCCACTGCTCTGGGACCTCTATTCCTCCAAGCGTCAAAGGTATACAAAGCCATCATGTCATTTCCCTCAGTCTCAGCAGGGGGATACACTGGAGTAAGACCTCAGCACCTCAAAGAGATGGTAAACCCAGTTCTCAGCGAGGTTGCCGAGACACCACTGTCAGAGGTCACGAAGTTTGTCAACGACTGCCTCTCTGGGCTGATCCCAGATACAATTAAACCCTTCTTCTTCGGAGCATCCCTTTGTGCCCTTAAGAAGAAGGATGGTGGAGTCAGACCCATTGCCGTGGGTAACACACTTCGGCCCTGTTGCCAGGGGTACCTGTCAGAAACATCAGCACGGAAGCTACAACGATGCTTCGACCCCATCAACTAGGTTTTGGCTGTGAAGCAGCAGCTCCTGCAGCACGAGCTTATATTAAACACCTCCCAAAAAATAAATTATACTTAAAAAATGTTTTCAATCATGTAAAAAGGGATGTGGTACTGGCAGCAGTTCAAACAAGCTTTTCTTGTCTACTCCCTTTCGTTTCAGCAGGGTACAGTAGGGAATTGACACTTGTTTGAGGAACATGAAGTCGTTTCCGCAGGTGTCCAGCAGGGAGACCCACTCGCCCCTTTCCTTTTCTGCATGGCTGCTAAAGAGGTCACAAGCAGGTTGACTAGCGAAATCAACTTCTGGTTCCTGGATAAGTTCCTGGATGATGGCACCCTGGCAGGGACACAGGAGTCCCTGCTAGGAGATCTACGGCTAGTGAAATCTAAAGAAGAGGACTTAGTACTCACCCTAAACCCATGAAAGTGTGAAATCATCTCATCCAGCCAACCAATCATAGATGCAGTACAAACCATGTTGCCAGGAGCCCCAGTGATCGCTCCCACCAGCAATGTGCTGCTAGGGGCACCTCTGGCCTCGAGCGTCATTGAGGTAATCCTTGAAGAAAAGCTGAACGACCTGAGGAGGATGGAGGGAAGAATAGGGGCTTTGGATGCTCACGATGCTTTATACCTTCTCACATGGTGCCTGGCTTTGCTCAGACGTACCTATTTCCTCAGGTGTGCTCCCTCCTTCGACAGCCCAAAATTAAGATAATATGACTAACTCCTAAAGTCAATAACCATGAAAGTGTTAATTAAACCTCTCTCTCTGCAAGATGACCAGTGGGACCAAGCAACGCTCCCAGTTAGACTCGGGGGTATAGGTATTCGCAAGGCGACACAGTTAGCATTGCCAGCATTCTTATCCTCGACCAGTGCTACAGGTGAATTAATGAATAAAATAATACCAGAATACCTAAGAGACTCCACTGGATTCATGATTTGACCTGCCCGAAACGCTGCGCGTGCTAGTGGCTTTACAAGACTGTAATTACCATAATTGTATCCTCACATTCCTTATGTACATTCTTGTATATGCATAAATAAATAAATAAATAAATAAATCCCAAATTCGCGGAAGGATCCGGTCAGTGGGACACTCTTGCCAGCTCTCACCCTCAACCAACTTTCTTCAAACAACGGAAAACAGGCCAAATGGGATAGCCCCATAGTGGAAAACATTGGCACAGCATTGCTGGAGGCCGCTTCTGAGAAGGACAGAGCGCGTTTCCTAGCTGTGTAAGCTCCCCATGCCGGGGACTTCCAGTTGGCAGTCCCCAATTCCGTCTTGGGCACCTGCCTGGACCATTGGGCCCTAAGTACAGTATTGGTGTTGCCCTGCGCCTTGCCGCCCCTATCTCCACCGAGCACCGGTGTATTTGCGGCCATGCACGGGCAGACCAATACGGCAGCCATGGTCTCATCTGTAGTAAGGCACAGAGAAAGATTGCCACACATGAAGCAGTCAATGACATCAAATCAAATCAAATCAAATCAAATCAAATCAAATCAATGTTTATTTAGGTAAGGTACATACATACAAGAGATTTTACAAAGAGTGATGGATTTATAGATAGGGCTAGTACATACAATGCCTAAAGCCACTATTACGCAAAGAGTTTCGGGCATGAAAAACTTTAAATGACTAAAGCTTAATACTAATTGAGCATAAAGAGTAAAATGAAAACATGGAATGAAAACATGGCTGAAAAAGCAGCACAAATACAATTCTGTCGACAAACAGCGCTCTTTTAAAAAAAACAGACATTGGTTGACAATAGAGGGGTAAGGTAGGTTACAGGGAATTTATTAGGTATAGCTTCGTTTTTATCTTAACTGGTTGAGAGAGCAACAGAGAGAAGGTTGAGAGAACATCATCAAGAGAAGTTTGGCTACAGCTGAATGTCCAGTACAAAGGGAACCCCAGTTGTGCAGACCTGACAACAGCCAAAAACGCCCAGATGGAGTCACCCTGCAGCCGTGGAGGGAAGGTAAACAGGTCGTATGGGATTACACATGTGCATCTACATTGGCTGATACCTATCTACCTTACAGCACAGCTAAGGGAGGCGAGGCGGCCACCTTCAGGGAGACTCAGAAAACCAAGTACAGGGACCTAGAACATTGTTACAGGTTCGCCTGTACGCCCGCCTGTAACTTTCTGTGCACTTAAGTTCCTAAAGGAGGTGAGTGAGGACCTCATTAAAAAAAACTAAATACTCAAGAGCGGTCAGTTTCCTGTTCCAGCGCCTCAATGTCGCAATCCAGAGAGGAAATGCTTGCTGTATCTTGGGCACGCACCCAACCTCCGAAGAGCTGGACGAGGTCTTTGAACACTGATTGTTATATATGTGTGTGTGTTCTTTGTAAACTGTAACAATGTAATAAAATTAATAAAAAAAGAATGGGGGTGGTAGGAGAAGAAAAGATTAAAGTGTTCAGTGAGAATCCACAAGGTCTTCTCTGAATACTCTTTATTTTCCTCTTCAAGGTTGTGGGTCCCTTCAATTGCACCAGAAGTGATACCCCTATTATACTATATTATAGTATTATATATTATAAACATACTAATTTTGTGTCGGAAATGTCTTGTGTACCAAGTGAGGCAATAATGTTATTCCCTGACTCCATGAATGACTAACCATCCTGTGAGATGGGAATATAAGGTGAACTTGTAGCTAGTTTTTTATCTAGTTTTAGTCTAAGTATTTTTCCTGTCCGAAACGCTTTGCGTAATAGTGGCTTTAGGCTTTGTATGTACTAGCTCATCTATAAGTCCATCGTTGTTTGTATCTCACCTTGTATGTATGTACTTTACCTGAATAAATATTTGATTTGATTTGATCTACACTGTGTAATCTTTCATATAGAATAGGGTAGCAGCACATTGCTGTGTGTATCTAAGGTTTTTAATATCTACAAACAAGTATCTATGGATATACTCTCAAGCTAAGGTTCTCCACCGTAAATTAAAAGCTACCTAACCTAACCAAATTGCTCAACCCAATATGTAACAAGTGGAAAAGGCAGTTGTAGGAAGGTCGGAGTATATAGTGACAGTTGTACAGAGATAGTGACAGTTGTACATAGTGACAGTTGTACATAGTGACAGTTGTACAGAGATAGTGACAGTTGTACATATGACAGTTGTATAGAGATAGTGACAGTTGTACATAGTGACAGTTGTACATAGTGACAGTTGTACAGAGATAGTGACAGTTGTACAGAGATAGTGACAGTTGTACATAGTGACAGTTGCATAGAGATAGTGACAGTTGTACATAGTGACAGTTGTACAGAGATAGTGACAGTTGTACAGATATAGTGACAGTTGTACAGATATAGTGACAGTTGTACAGAGATAGTGACAGTTGTACAGAGATAGTGACAGTTGTACAGAGATAGTGACAGTTGTACAGAGATAGTGACAGTTGTACATAGTGACAGTTGTATATAGTGACAGTTGTATAGAGATAGTGACAGTTGTACATAGTGACAGTTGTACAGAGATAGTGACAGTTGTACATAGTGACAGTTGTACAGAGATAGTGACAATTGTACAGAGATAGTAACAGTTGTACAGAGATAGTGACAGTTGTACAGATATAGTAATTACTATAATTATATACTAATATATAATTACTGTAATGTACAACTGTTAATTAACAGTTGTACAAAGATAGTGACAGTTGTACAGAGATAGTGACAGTTGTACAGAGATAGTGACAATTGTACAGATATACTGACAGTTGTACATAGTGACAGTTGTACAGAGATAGTAACAGTTGTACAGAGATAGTGACAGTTGTACAGATATAGTAACAGTTGTACAGAGATAGTGACAGTTGTACAGATATAGTGACAGTTGTACACAGATAGTGACAGTTGTACACAGATAGTGACAGTTGTACACAGATAGTGACAGTTGTACACAGATAGTGACAGTTGTACAGAGATAGTGAGAGATAGTGACAGCTGAGAACGTCCCAGAAAATATAATCTATTGCGACGCTAATGGTATCGAGCGAGGCGACCTTGGCCCTATTATAGTAAACCACACTGCCAGACTCTGCTTAATATCCATGAAATATGACCTAGTATACAGTGAGGGTTGAGTACACGAGTACAAGATAGTGACAGCCTCTGATAGTGTTAAATATAGTGATAAGAAGATGGCGATGGACGCATGCGCAGGGGTGTAGTGGCCGGCCAGCCTTCATAGTGTTCTCTCTCGTCTACAGCTCCTTACATTGGTCTTGTAGTGTCTCAAGGAGGCTCTGTAGTGGTGAGGGGTTGTTATATACAAGTAGCACGGACTATGGTGATCCCGTAGTGGACTTACCTGGCACAGGAGCGGGGCAAGTAGCACGGACTAAGGTGAGCCCGTAGTGGACTTACCTGGCCCGGGTGAGGGGTTGTGTGGTGGCACTGGGTATAGTGGTGTGTTGCTTGTGTTATGGTGACGTGTGTGTGTGTGTGTGTGTGGGTGGTGAACATTGTCTTCTTGTTCCTCCTTTATGGACAAGTCGCCCCCTTCTCCACACACAGACTTAACATGGACTAACTTTATGGACAAGTCGCCCCCCTTCTCCACACGCAGACTTAACATGGACTAACTTTATGGACAAGTCGCCCCCCCTTCTCCACACGCAGACTTAACATGGACTAACTTTATGGACAAGTCGCCCCCCTTCTCCACACGCAGACTTAACATGGACTAACTTTATGGACAAGTCGCCCCCCCTTCTCCACACGCAGACTTTTAAGATCAGGATTGGCATTATAGTTTAGCGTTTTATATATGTATAATACACATGAGAGAATGTGCAGTGACTTAATATCTAACATATTAAGAGATTTGAGTAGGGGTACCGAGTGATGTCTGGGGCCAGAGTTGGATATTGTTCTAATAGCAGCTTTGTGTTGGGTAATTAGAGGACGTAAGTGATTTTGGGTAGTAGAACCCCAAGCACAAATACCATAGTTGAGATAAGGATAGATAAGGGAGTAATAGAGAGTCACCAGGGCAGGGCGTGGTACATAATATCTGATCTTAGAAAGAATGCCCACAGTTTTTGAAACTTTTTTTGATATATTTAGAATGTGTCCCTGGAAATTCAGCTTGTGGTCAATGAGAATGCCAAGGAATTTGCCATCTAATTTGTTACAAATTTGGGTATTGTTTATTTTGAGATTTATAAGACTAGAGGATTTATTGCCAAACAGAATATAGAAGGTTTTGTCAATGTTAAGGGTGAGTTCAACCCGTCCTCTTAAAAAGAACGTCACTTTTGGCTGGTATGCGCGATATGGCTAAATTTGGACGTAATTTGAAATGAAATCGACTCACAAAAGTGACGTTCTGTTCCGTTTTCTATTTGAGTCGTCCGGCTTACGCACAGAGGTTATAAGAGGACACTTTAAATTCACGTTTTTCATAACGTTTTGAAACTTTATGAGAATTTCCTGCCCACCTAACCTATCAGAGGACCCTTAACTTACTGTTGTTGAAAAAAGAAATCCCAAATTTATTTTAATTTTTTTTCCTTTTCAAATTACGTCCAAATTCGGCCATACGGGCAAACGGCCAAAAGCGACGTTCTTTTTAAGAGGACAGGTTGGTATACAGCTGCTTGTATATAGTTTTTCAAAAATTTTTGACAAGTTTGGCAGGATTGATATAGGTCTGTAGTTGTTAACATCTGTGGGGTCAACCACATTTGTGGACAGGCGTTACTCTCGCTTTTTTTAGAATATCTGGAAAGGTTTGGAGTTCAAGTGACTTGTTGAAGAGCAAAGCAATAGCAGGGGCTAAAGATCTGGAGGCTTTTTTGTAAATTAATGTTGGTATCTCCTCAAGGGCACCAGACTTGGTTTCTTGGTTTTAAGGGAAAGGATTATCTCATTGACGTCAGTGGAGTTAATAGGCTTTAGGTACAGAGACTGTGGATAGTTACCTGTAAGATAGTCCTTAATGTCAGTACTGGAAGATGGAATATCATTTGCAAGGGATGAACCAATGGAAGAGAAGAACCTATTAAACTCAATAGCAGAATCAGAGGCTGAAAGCTGACCATCGTTATTAGACAGGAGAGTCTGTTTGTTATTTAAAGATTTCTTTTGATCCCAATATTTGTGAAATTGTGCTCCAAGTTTGTTTAATGTTGCTCTTTATTTGAGTAAATTTATCTTCGTAGTAATTAGTTTGTGGCTCGTCTAATTATCTTAGATAGTTAACATGGACTAACTTTATGGACAAGTCGCCCCCCCTTCTCCACACGCAGACGTAACCATTCCTGCCCTCGTCAAAGCCTCAAGTGTTATTCTAAGTAAATTCAGGTAAATACCTTCAGTAGGTATTTAACATAAAATATATTTATAGTTGAAGGCAAGTGCGAGTAACAATTCACATTTGTTCATTCATCACAGCATGACTATGTTCAAAACCTTGTTCCTATCTTGAGGTTATCTTGAGATGATTTCAGGGCTTAGTATCCCCGCGGCCCGGTCCTCGACCAGGCCTCCACCCCAGGAAGCAGCCCGTGACAGCTGACTAACACCCAGGTACCTATTTACTGCTAGATAACAGGGACATAGGGTGAAAGAAACTCTGCCAATTGTTTCTCGCCAGCGTCCAGGATCGAACCCGGGACCACAGGATCACGCGTCCAGTGTTCTGTCCGCTCAGCCACCGCCACCTAAATGCTAATCTTGAAACTAAACTATCTGAAACTTCTCCTTGATAGGTGTAATAGAACCAATGAGCACCACACCAGAAATAAGTACATCTATGATATCACCAGAGTCAAACTAAATCTATGCAAGCACTTTTGCAAATAAAAGGGTCCAGTCTTTGGAACTCGCTCCCTGATGAATTAAAAAATTGTCCAACCCATTCCCTATTCAAAAGTAAAACCAAAAAGTACCTAATTTCATCCTCATAGTTTCCTACCTTGTGCTTCAAACTCACACTGTATCTTGTATTACCCATTTTCCCAATACTGTATTAGTACTTAAGACATATATCTTTATCAGTGTAATCACCTCCTGTCAATTTATATTGTAGTTATTTGTTGATATAAAACCTTGCTACAATGTACATTTTTATCTGAGCTGATATGTTAGATTAAGGACCTGCCCAAAATGCTGTTGTTAGTGATTTTGCAAGAATGTACAAATACCAATCTTATGTAATCTCACCAACCCATTGTACCATCTTGTGAATAAGTTATTATTATTATTATTATTATTGTTAATAATAATAATAATAATAATAATAATAACAACAAGACCGCAGAAGTGGACAGCGTTCTGGGATCCTAGTCCTAATGGCCCAGGTTCGAATCCCAATTGAGGCTGAATTTCCTTCACCTGATGTCTATGTTCACCTAGCAGTAAATAGGTACCTGGGAGTTACAGCTGCTATGGGCTGCACCCTGGTGATGTGTGAGTGAGAGAACTCACAGTAGACATGTGAGTGTACAGTAGACATGATAGATATGATACCCCCTAAGTGTCAACCCATGTCTTGCTATTTTCAAACAATATTGTTTGTTGACCAACTTGTATAATTGCTGAGTTCTGCCATGTTCCTACCCCCCCCCCCCCCTTTTTTTCCTTTTTCAACACAATTTATACTTTAATCTCAATTAGTATTAAGTTTAATCTAAATGGTTTTCCCCCACACCTTGCCCAAAATGTTGTGCGTATTAAAGACTTTAGGTATTGTATGTACTAGCTCTATCTATAAATCCAACATTATCTTTGTAACTCATCTTCTATGTATGTACTTTTACCTGAATAAACATTTGAATTTGAATAGAGGAAAAATAGGTGAGGAGTCAGTACACTAGACAACCATGTACATACATGCATACATACATACATGCATACATGCATACATACATACATACATACATACATACATACATACATACATACATACATACATACATACATACATACAATGCCTAAAGCCACTATTATGCAAAGCGTTTCGGGCAGGAAAAACACCAAGACTAAAACTTAATACTAATTGAGATTAAAGTATAAATTGTGTTGAGAAAAAGTAAGAAAAAAATGAAAAAAAGGGGGGGGGGAAACATGGCAGAAAAAGCAAGAATACAATTTGGGCAACAAACAGCATTGTTTAAAATCGGAGACATGGGTTGACATTTAGGGGTGAGGTAGGTTACATCGAGTTAATTAGGTGGTACTTGGTTTTTATCTTAAACTGGTTGGGAGAGGTACAGTCTTTAACATAATTGGGAAGGTCATTCCACATTCAAGGTACCTTGATTTGTAAAGCATTTCTAGTTTGACTAAGTCGTACTCTTGGGATATCAAATAGGTACAATGGGGCCTCGACTTACGATGCTAATTCGTTCCGAGAGACGGATCGTAACTCGAAATATCGTAAGTCGAAGCAATTTTTCCTATAATTCCTATAATTTTATAATTTTCCTATAATTTCCTATAATTTTCCTTGATAATGTTTCCTATAATTCTAATTCCTATTTTTCCTATTTTCCTGCCCGAAACGCTGCGCGTACTAGTGGCTTTACAAGATTGTAATTACCATATTATGTATCCTCACAATCCCAATGTACCTTCTTGTATATGCATAAATAATTAAATAAATAAAAATAAATAAAAATAAATAAATAAATAAATAAATAAATATAAGAAATAAAGGAAATTGAATTAATCCGTTCCCCACCCTCCAAAATATTAACATACAAATACATTTTATACTGAATACAATATTTTTTTCTAACTACAATACAGTACCTAGGTTTATCAAAATCAAATCAAAATCAAATGTTTATTTAGGTAAGGTACATACATACAAGAGATTTTACAAAGAGTGATGAATTTACAGATAGGGCTAGTACATACAATGCCTAAAGCCACTATTACGCAAAGCGTTTTGGGCATGAAAAACTTAAATGACTAAAGTTTAATACTAATTGAGCATAAAGAATAAAATGAAAACATGGAATGAAAACATAGCTGAAAAAGCAGCACAAATACAATTCTGTCGACAAACAGCGCTCTTTAAAAAAAAACAGACATTGGTTGACAATAGAGGGGTAAGGTAGGTT